CCGACAGCCAAGATTTTGAAGGGGCCAGTCCAGAGTAGAGATAACTTGGCTTTGAGAACCTTATCATCTGTGCCTGAACGAACGCCTTGTCGAATAGTAGATTCGGAGTTATACACCCAAACCCATCCACCAACGGTGCAAGAAGGAAACTTATGGAAGGCGTCCGATAGGGTGGAATTACGCCGCTCAATCCGCGAAANAAAGCAACTTGGAAGCCAATGGACGACCGTCAGGGCTGTCAGAACATGGACCGACCGCCAAGATTTTGAAGGGGCCAGTCCAGAGTAGAGATAACTTGGCTTTGAGAACCTTATCATCTGTGCCTGAACGAACGCCTTGTCGAATAGTAGATTCGGAGTTATACACCCAAACCCATCCACCAACGGTGCAAGAAGGAAACTTATGGAAGGCGTCCGATAGGGTGGAATTACGCCGCTCAATCCGCGAAACGGACAGGTTATGCTGTTCGCGCACCAAGTCGTAAGAACGACGTTGGCGATCAGCAGCAAGATCGCAATATTCGAGTTGATCACGATGCAAGCTTTGGTGGCCACGAGCGTAAGGATGCTCAAGAACAGTCATCGGTAAACGAGGCAATCGATTCATATGCACCTCATTGGGGGCTAAACCGGTAGCGGCGCTAACGGAATTGTTGTAAGCAAACGCGACGTGTGGGAGATGAATGTCCCAATCATCTTGTCGTTCGTTGACGACATAACCAACATTTGAGCCATAGTGTGATTGACGTGCTCCACACCCCCATTTCCATTGGTATGGTACGAGCTAGTAGCCACTTTGCGGATAGCAAGACGGGCATACACAGCTTGGGACAGTTTAGAACAAAACTGAGAGCCGTTGTCAGACAAAAGACTCAACGGGCAACCCCACAAAAGGAGAAACCTGTTGACAAGGATGTCAGCTGTGCCTTCGGCGGTGAATTCTGCAGCCNATAACCAACATTTGAGCCATAGTGTGATTGACGTGCTCCACACCCCCATTTCCATTGGTATGGTACGAGCTAGTAGCCACTTTGCGGATAGCAAGACGGGCATACACAGCTTGGGACAGTTTAGAACAAAACTGAGAGCCGTTGTCAGACAAAAGACTCAACGGGCAACCCCACAAAAGGAGAAACCTGTTGACAAGGATGTCAGCTGTGCCTTCGGCGGTGAATTCTGCAGCCGTAACCGCGTACATATCAGCACGGCGGCTGAAACGGTCTGTAAAGAGCAGAATGTATGTGTTGCCACGCGGTGTCAACGGATCTGGACCAAAATCGTCAACACTCACCGACACACCAGGGCCCGAAGGCAAAGGAAGGGACATGGTAGGCCACCGAGGAGTCTGACGAGACGATTTACGGGCTTGGCATCGCAAACAATGCCCACCCACCATTTCGTACAAACACTCACGCCAATCCACCAATAGAAACGTTCCAGCATGCTAAGCGTGCGAGCCGCACCGAGGTGACAGGACGCATCAGCGTGGCAGACTTGCATGATCCACGGACGCAAAGGCATGGGAACATAAATCCGAATGGGTTCATCGTTAAGAAGGCGAGCAGCACGTTCGCCAGGACGTGCGGTCGTGGACGACGGGGTCGTTGTTTGCTTGCGAACAAGCAAGACCAAACCATCATCGTTAACATGCAACCGGCCTTTGTTGGACAGGTCACGAATCTCCGAAAGAGAGGGTCGACGAGCGGACGGNAAGGCATGGGAACATAAATCCGAATGGGTTCATCGTTAAGAAGGCGAGCAGCACGTTCGCCAGGACGTGCGGTCGTGGACGACGGGGTCGTTGTTTGCTTGCGAACAAGCAAGACCAAACCATCATCGTTAACATGCAACCGGCCTTTGTTGGACAGGTCACGAATCTCCGAAAGAGAGGGTCGACGAGCGGACGGAACACGGTCCAATAAATCCGAAGGGAGGACCGAAGGCCGACCCAGAAGGATGAAACGAATGGTTGCATCACACACAGGTTCGTTACGTTGCTCGCGAGCCCAATCAGCATGCGAGAAACGTTCGACGGACGCCCGGAAGGCTAAATCCGCCGAAGAATGTAAAGCCGCCTCGATAGAAGAGGGGGCTGATTCGCGAGGCGCCGACTGCAACCCATCCGAGGATAGAGGAGCAATGGGGACCGAAGGCAAATGCGCGCGAGCGGTTGACACCAAACGCGACAAAGACTCTGAAGAGCCGGGGTCTGCAGGAGGCTGCAAAGCAGGAACAACCGCAGTCGTGGCAGGCGTCGGAGACGCAGGCTCCACTCCATGAGCCAGAGGCGCGGAGGGAGTCGAGGATAAACCACCAGCACCAGTAGTCGAAACACAAATGGGCAAGGCTGGTGTCATCGACGGCGCCTTCGTCGCCGTCGGCGACCGCCGAAACGGTCGAGAGGGAGCGGAAATCCGCGTGGGAGACAAAGAAGGCTCATCGTCAGAAAAACCATAATCAACAGGCGGAAGTGGCGTGCCTGCCACAGCTGCCTTGCGACGGCGAGTCCTGGTGGAGATCACTTGGGTGGGGTCGAGGATCCGACGCGGGTTTCCAAGAGCGGGAACGGCAGTCGGAGGCTCGGGCTCGAGAGCCGAAACATCATCGAAAGACTGAGGTAGGGAGCCGGACCAAACGATGGGAGGTCGATTGCGCAATCGCGACCGCACCGAGCGGCAGAACATCTCGGATAGCAAGGGAGCGATCTTGGGCGACAAGGAAGCGACGTTCCAAATGCCCGATGAAGACGAGGGGCCTGGTGACGGTAGACACGGACCGTGCCGACGGAAATCAGCGAAGTCAGCCGTACAGGGGCAAGCCCACCCAAGACCGAAGTCGGGGACTTAGGAACTAGCCCACCCAAGCCAATACCCGCGGCCCGATCACCGGAAGGGGTAAGGCCACACGAACGGATGAAAAACACCGCCTCTTCATCCTCAGCCGGGGTCAGACGGCTGCGACCCGAACGGTCGCATTCAGCCGCAGCGACTGGGAGGCGTGAGAGGAAATCAGCGTTGCCATTTGCGGAACCCTTGCGATACTCGAGAGTGTAATTGTAGGCGGTAAGAAATTCCAGCCAGCGCTGAACGCGGGCATTGTTCTCCCCCACCTTAGAAAATCCTCGAGAGATTTGTGGTCGGTAAAAATGCGAACTTTTGTACCCCACAAGTAGCCGCGAAGGCGCTTGATACACCACACCATGCTACCCGCTTTGAGATCGAGGGGAGTCCAGTGGCGTTCTGAGTTCAAAGTAGCCCGACTGATGAAGACAATTGGGCGAATGGAACCATCTGGCTGTTCTTGTTCGAGAGTCCCACCAAACCCATCGCGACTAGCATCACAGTAAAGATGAAAAGGTCGCGAGCCGTCTGAAACAGCATCCCAATCTGGATAAACCAAAACAGGGGGATTGGCCAACTCAGCTAACAAAACGCGAACGGCTTGCTCCATGGAAGGGGTGAAGATAAACTTCTCCTGCTTCTTGAGTAGAGTAGTCAGAGGTCGAATGCGTTTAGCCATGTTGGGGAGGAACTTACGGTAGTAGCTGAGACCACCGAGAAGGGAACGCAGTTGGTTGACATCCCTGGGCATAGGAATTTTGGTGGGGGCCGAAACCTTGGTACCGTTAGGCCTAACGCCGTCAGGGGAGATGGTGTGTCCGAGGAAGTCTGCTTTGGTAGCGCCAATAGTAGCTTTCGGAGGCGTGAGTTTCAAGTTGTGCGTACGCAAGCGTTCAAAGAGTGCGCGCATGGTACCAACATGAGTAGCAGGGGTGTCATCAAAGACGATCAAATCATCCAAGTACGATGCAACACCGTGGAGATTTTTGATGACTTCGTTGACAACTTTGCAAAACCACCCAGGGGCAGCCGAACTGCCTTGAGGCATCTTCAACCACTCGAAAAGCCCTGAAGATGTCACGAATGCCGTTAAAGGGATTGTATGGCGATGCACCGTATTTTGGTGGAACGAAGATTTCATGTCGAAAAGGGAATCAATTCGCCCTTTCAACAACTTGTCCAAAGTATCATCGACTCGAGGAATCGGAAGCTGACTCAAAGCACAAAGCTTGTTGAGCTTACGACAATTGACGGTGATGTGAACACCACCAGATTTCTTCGGTATGACTACCAAAGGGCTCGAGAAGGGCGAGGTCGAATGTTGGATCAAACCTGCCGCAATATATTGGTCAAGGATGGCGTCAACTTGTTTCGCCACCGGGGGATTAGCGCGATAGGGGCGAGACGTGACGGGTGCGCTGCCAGGAGGAATGGTAAGCTTAAAAGGAAAAAGCGAACAGGATTCAAAGTCGGTCGGAGAACTCGAAAACACATCATGGTCTTCGCACAAAACGCTACCAAGCTGCGTAATGGCATCGGGAGTCCAACCCGGGCCGTGGAGATCAAAAGTAATCTCACGGAGATGGCAGGGGAGCTTATCCCAGACTTGGGAGAAACTTTGACGCTGTTCTGGCGTCAACCGCTCGAGAAGAGCAGGCGGAGGCGACGAAGAGGGAGAACTGGCGGAACCAAAGTCCCCTCGGTCGCTTGGCGACGGGATGGGTCGCTTGTGTAAATTATACACGAAGGGGTCAGAGACGGAGTGCGTGGCAGACGAATCAATGCCACCCGCAGAAACAGGACCAGGGACCCAGCTGTCTGAAGCAGCGTGGGTTCTGAAGCCGCAGTTTCAAGACCATCACTCAAACTGTGGCGAGAAACAGCGCTAAGAGGCACGCGAAGAAGGGGAGCCGAAGCTGTACCCAGGACGTCGCCGGGTTCGAGAGACGAGATGCCCGCAGGAGGGATTCGTTGGCAACCATTTTGCACAAAATGTTCTTCGGAAGAAAACATAGCACATTGGGGGAGCGTATCCACCAAATAGTTACCCACAAGGGCAGGCGAACCACCATTGCGTACCAAATTGACCTGAATGAGGCTATGCTCTGGGTGACGTTGAACGGAATGTTTGCCTGCATAGCGAAGTTGGTAACTTCCATCTGAGCGCGAAGCTCTGACAAACGGGTGGCTTCTACGATGGGGTCAGCAGCACTCGCGCCATCCGACGACGGCAACAGCGACGATTGGGAATCGTCGGCTGTCGGCCCGAAAGCCGAGGCACTGCGTGGAGACACCAGGGACTGGCCGAAGCCGAGTCCGAGGAACCGACGCTAAGTTGAGACATACCGATCAGCGAGGCAAAGCTAAGTTGTGTGGAGACGAAAGCGAAGAAAGCTTCGTGCAGCAGGCTCGAGTCGCCCAAACACAAACCCCAGAAAGCACGCTGTACGTATATGCCGACGACGCCAAGTGTAAAGATAATGCACGCGCGGTGCAATCTGGGAGACTCGTGAAGACGAACTTACTTGTTATTAACTCGTGTGGAACAGCAGTAGCTGTTGCCAAGGGAAGGTAGAGGACTGACTAGGATGGGGCCAGGATCAGCTGCTAAAGCAGGGGCTACTAGATCCTGTCCCCTGTTTTGTCCTTCCGTGGGGAGTTGCACCTCCCGCACTTTTCTCTGGGCATTAGCCCGCACTACCGTTTGTACTTTCCTACACATTCAAATCCCATAACACGTTGTTGCTGCAGGTAGGTGTGGACCCATGTACCAGATGTATCCACCTTATTGAGGGATTCGCAGTAGCAAGGCGTCTCCACAATCTATATCAGTGCTTGTCTTGTAGAAGGGGAGAAGCCCCATGATGAGAATCACTGTGTTTGTCTTGTAGGAGGAAAGGAAGCCTCAGCAATGATAAGTGCTCGATGCAGTAGATAGTCAGGCGTGTTCTCCGCGAGCGTTGAATGCAGGAGGTGTTGTGTGTGGCGTACTACTCGCGGCAAAGAGCGAGGGAGGTTATCGCACGACATGATGGACCGCAGTTTTCTTCGAGTGGGGGAGAGCAGTCACATCAACGCGTGCTGTATGGCGGTTGAGAATTGGAACTTTGTTTTTTCTGAGAGTCGAAGAAGAGTTGTGTGTATGCAGGTTGAAGTTTGAATTTCTGAGAGTCGGAGTAAGAGTTGTATACAAGAAGGCTTATCATGCTTGATGTGTTTGACAAAACAGCTGTCACAGGATGATAGCATATACCACCGACCCCGGGGGCGCCGCAAAGCGCCGGAATCAAGGGGGAGGGAGTAAGTTAGGTGCTCAGATCATCGATAGTTGTTCGTCGAGCGAGGAGGGCAGTAGTAGGAGTGAATTGCAACGGACTTTTGTTTGGGCTCTGTGGGAGTAAAATCGTGGCAGTGGCTGCAGACTTTTGGACATTGTTGGGTACTAGGAAGGTAATATTGAAACGTGGCGGGAAGGTTACCCGGGTCGATTACGTTGTCGGAGTTATCCTGTTTGAGGCTTTATCTTGCTTTTTCGGAGTATCGACCTTGGGAAGGAGGGGTTTTGACCCGGTGGCCGGGTTTCCCCTTCGGTTTTTATTGATTTGTTGTTTTTGCGGAAAAAACTGACTTGAGGTGGCGGAAGCACGCATCCCACAGAAGTGGTTAGTTTCTTTTGCGTAAAGAACCAGGGTGTTCGTGTGAGTGCGTATGTAGTCGGATCTGGAGACGAGATGACTGTTTTAGGTGCCCTGCACATAGGTATGCGATGAGTAGTACGACCAGTGAATGATTGTGCGGAGCCCCCACGTCAGCTGTCGTGGCGTGGCACTCCCTGCTCTTTCCCCCCAACCGGGTGTGAGAGATAACAAGCATCTAAACCTCAAGCACTACAGTCTCTACAAAGACAACAAGGGCACTCCACTTAGGGTTGACGAAGAGGGCCTCCGCGTCCGTCGCCACCGTCGTCTTCTTCCCCGCCGACCTGCCCTTCTTGCCCGTGTACTCCACTTGTGTCCCGATCTTGTCCATGTCCGCCGTCACCTTGGGGTCCTTATCGAACTCGGCCACGGCGACCATGAGCATCGCGGCCAAGAACAAGTTGAACAGAAGCGGGGCCAGGTTGCATCCCTGTCGGAGGCCTTGGCCCACGTCGAACCATTCCGAGTACTGCCCGTCGTCCGTTCGGACGCGCGCCCTCATGCCCTCGTGGAAGTGGCGAATGACCGCCAGCATCTTCGGGGGCACGCCGAAGCGTCGGAGCACGTCCCACAGTAGGTCTCGGTCCACCGAATCGTATGCCTTGGTGAGCTCGACGAAGCACGCGAACACCGCAGTACTCTTCTTCCTCGCGAGCTCATGGAGCCGCTGAATGGCGAACAGCATGTCGAGCGTCGACCGGTGTGGGCGGAAACCGCTCTGCTCCTCCTCCTCCGGGAGGCTGCCCTCTCGCTCGCAGTAGTGGCTCAGTGGTGTAGCGACGACCTTAAGCAGCACCTCGCCGGCGTGTGCGACGCGAGAGATACCCCGGTAGTTGCCGCACTCCATCGTGTCCCCCTTATTGAACAGCACTTTGATGGTGGCATCCTTCCACTGCTGTGGTACGTCCCCCGTCTACCACACGTCCACGACAGTGGCGTGGAATTCGCGGAGGAGACCTTGATCTCCGTCCAGGAAAAGCTTGATCAGCTCAGCCGGTAGGTCGTCCGGCCCGACGGCCTTTCTGTTGGCCATTTCCTGTACCGCTTCCTCAACCTCAAGTGGAGATGGGATGTCGTCGAGTGGCACGCACGTGGGCCACCGCTTGACCTTGTCAGCCGCATGCAGGTCAATGGTCGGCGACTTGGCGTGTGCTGAGAAGCTTGTGGAACCACCGTGCCCACCGTTGGCGAATAAACATGGGGTTCCGAAGGACCTTGCCGTCCTCGTCCTTGATGTTCTAAGAGGTGGAGGTGAACGACCTGTTGAGAGGTGAACGACCGCTTACCTTCGACGTCGATCATCTTCAGGTGCCTGTAGAAACCCGCCTGACCCCCCTCGCGGCTCCGTGTGGGTTCCCCACGCAAGATACAAGTTATGATCCCACATGAACGATTTTTTTTTTTTTGTCCCTTCGACCAGGGCAGGCTGGAGGTTTATTTTTTCTTTGAGTTCTCTGTGTCAGTTGGTGGTCTGAAGTCTCCGTCTCTTCCGATCAAAAATCATCATAGCAGTCCAATGCTCGGTTTTGTCCGCGGGGAACGGTATAGGGCAAGCAGTGCTCGCCGCGAATGCTTCTGATTCACTCCGCCGCCGCAACACTGCCGCTGCTATCCTTGGACGGCACAGCATCGGGAGGAGGCAGGCTGCAACACGCGAGCTCGTCGTGACTTGTTTGACGCTCATCATTACTTGAAGGAGGCGAGCGAAAAAATAACTCACTTGAAGGAACCTCAGGCAGGCACGCGAGAGAGAGGCGCATGGTGAGGGCGATGGCCAGCCCCTGGTTGCTCGGGGCGACACTGCTGCTCTCGTTGCTGACCGCTACAGAAGTAGCGGCAGATGCGACGCTGGTAGTCCTGCTGCCACCGAGCGAGGGCGAAGAGGGGGCAGAGGCCGGCAGCTTCCCGCTCACCCAGGCTCTCCAGAGCGTAATCCGGCTCGGCGTCGAGCGCGTCAACGGAGATGGCGTGCTGCTCGACGACAAGGAGGTGGCGCTGTTCACGCACACCAGCACCGGCGTGCCTGCTGCGGCGGCCCTATGCGAGTCCATCGAGAGCAATGACACCGTCGTGGCGGTGAGGAAGAAATGGGGGGCCTGTCCTTGCTCCGGTGGGGCAGGTCTGCATCATTCGATTTGGTCGGTTCTAATCTTGTACTCAATGGTTTGTGTTCCCGCTTCTTGGCTACCGCGGCTTCGCCCTACATCTGTCGTGCACAGCTGTAATAATGTACATAGGAGGACGGCAACGGCCGTGGCGTGTGTACTGCTGACTGGGTTGCGAAAAGTTCCGCCGGCGGCGTACGTTCAGGCAGTGCACGTTCGGGGCAGAAGATACGTACAGCAGTAGCACAGCAGCAGCAATGGTGCAACGCGTGTTTACGCAAGCGCCGTGCATAACCCCTCTCTCCGTGACTCTCCGTCCTGAAGTATATGGGTCTGCTTCGAGCGCGTTCTGTTTCCACAGGTGGAAGTCACTGGTTGTTGCACATCTTACAGCCCAAGCCATGAAGTTTTGATCCGTCACCCTCCCGGGATCCCGAATACTCAAATAACCAGACATGTCTGCACGGCAGCTCTCTTTTCTATTGGCCTTCATGTTGGTTGTGCTGGCGTTCTCTCTCAGAGGGTGGGTGGATAGAACACACGCGCCCTGGTACTTGCACTTGTGTACGTCATACTTGTGTGCGTACCTGGGATGGTGGAACTCGGCGGGAAATTGGCTGCTGCAGTTTCACGCCTCAAGATATTGGAAGTTTAACTGCTGTTGTTTTTGTGTTGATTGTTGTCTTGGGCGGAATTTGTTGTGCATGTGCATATATGCAACTTTACCTCTATATATGTGTATATATGTACTGCTGCTGCTGCTGCTGCAGTTCGAAGAAAACGTCGAGTGCTCTGCGACGAAAGCAGGGCGGAAGCAAGAGATGCTTGTGACTTGCGACCTCCCAGTTCTCATCACATAGTTGACTCTCGTTGGTTCGTGACGAAGACCTTGTGCACCACAGAAGACGGAGAGGAGACGTAAGAAAGGATCGCCAGAGGCCAAGCGTGTGCAACACCCACTTCCGTGCTGTGAAAGCTGGTGATCTGGTCCCCGGTCCTGTCTAGATGTACATACAGCAGTTTCTTGTTGTTTCTCACATTAGCTCCATATAGTCCACAAAGAATGGGGAGCCCGTGGTCTCGATACCCGGCCCATACGACGCCGCGGGGAAACAAAACAGAGAGGGCACACTTAGCTCCAACTGGCATTACTGATAACTCCGTGTTAGGCTTCCACAAACTCAAAATATGCCAAGTCTCCAGTTGGTTTCAATCCACTTACTCAACAGACTTCACCACATCCCTTTCGACTGAGGTTGTATCTCGAACGGGTAGTCAGTCTTTCTGTGAGGTTATGTTTACTTTCTAAAAATAGGGTACAAACCACTTGGAAAAAGACAGGTACCGTGGTATGCAACATATTACTATTTGGAACAATAAATACACAGAAAGACTAGTCTACCCGTTCGAGATATAACCCACATTCGAACGGGATGTGGTAAATAAGTGTCTTTTCAGTGACAAGGGCCACCCGGAGTGGAGGAAAACCGGCTGGATATTGAAGTCTTTACACTGATGATTTTTTGTAAGTTGTACCAGCTGGTACTTAAGAACTGTACGAAAACATATATCACAAGGTCCGTCTAAGATTATAATATAGTCTACATCCTGCTGCGTATATCAAGACGAGACCTCTTGAAAATGTTAAAATTAGAGTTCGTCAGAGGTTGCCAACAACATTTGTAAGTACAGTGGGGTGCCCTCAATAACGCCGGTTGAATAACGCCGGTGGCCCTAAATAGCACCGGTAAAATTGCTGGGCACAGCCAGAGCCCTCAATAGCGCCACACCGGCGTTATTGAGGGCGGCTCGCAATAACGAACGCCGGTTTGGGCACCTCTACACCCCGCATAGCGCCGGTTTATTTTTTTTACGAACACACAAACCACACACCACGCACCTGCCCTGAGGAGGTTACACACCATTAGGGGTACAAACGTGCATCTACAGACCCTACAGCTCCACGTAGGCGCATCATGCCTTGTGCGGAAAGCGAGTTGTGCCTTCAGCAAGACAAGAAGCCGCAAGCTCCTAATGGCCACGGTTGCAAGGGAGGATGTGGCGGGCGCCTCCACGGCAATTGCGGCAGCATGTTTGACATCGAGCAGAACCAGCGGTTACCATCTGCAGTGCGTGCGTCGCGAAGAACGGCAAGCGCAAAGCGCCAGCGCCACCGGAGGGTGCTAGGGCTCGAAAATCCAAGTCCCAGAGGACGAAAAAGAAAAACAGGGGGGCGTGGCGCCACTCGTAAGTTCTTGACCTTCGACCAGAAGCTCAAGGTCCTGGATATGCTAGAAAGGAAGGTATCCCATGAGCAGATAGCGGACTCCTTCGGCTGCTCGGAACGGACGGTTCGTCAAATCAAAGCTGGCCAGGCGAAGATCAAGGAGAAGGCAAACACAGCAGGCGCAGGCGGCAAGAAGTGCTCTCGGCAAGAAGACTTTCCAGAGGTGAGACCCACACCGCTGGACCAATCCGATTGGTTTTCTTGTTTTTCAGGCGTTGATTCAAGCCCTGTCTGAGTGTTTTTTTTTGCATCGACATTTTTTTCTCGTTTTCTCCTCCCATGTCGATTTATTTAATTATCCTCACATGACACAACAAGTCCATCTCCTCCACAGATGAGAGTCTGGGATAGAAAAGTAGCGATGAAGCCATAGCGTCAGCGGAAGCTACCTCTCGATTTGCATATTTTCTACGACGGTTAAGTATACTGACGCCTTGCATAAAGCACTCCTTGGGTTGTTTGACTTTTTTGCCGATGATGATGAGACAGAAAACAGCATAAGTACTTCGCAGAAACAGTGCTGTATACGCGGTCGAGCCGGTTGCGCTCTACTTGTACACGTCTAAATAGCCGTCGCGCTCTCCCGCACCCTCTCATTTTCGCTGCATCGTCACCAGGTGGATGCGTTGGTAGTGAAACTTTGCAAGAAAGCCAGGGAGGCCAAGATCTCCGTCACGCGCGACGTCATCCGAAGCTTCGGACGCTCCGCGAAGACCACCCTGCTGGGAACAGCAACAACTTCTGCAGCAGTCCGGAAGGAGTTGGAGGAGTTCAAGGCCGGCGATCGATGGGCCAAGAACTTCGTGAAGCGCAACGGACTCCACAGCCAAAGGCTTCATGGCGAGGCAGGCAGCGTCGACACCGAGCTCATCAAGAAGGACATCGAAGCAGTCAAGGTCCTCTGCACAAAGCTCCCGGCGAGGAACATCTTCAACGTTGACGAGACAGGCATCCAGTGGAAGGTTATGTATGCCCAGGCGCACGTACCTTTCCACCTCTGAGAACCGGAAGACGACTTGGGGCTCAAAAGGGTATGACTTGGACGCGATTCAACGGAGCGAGGAAGCTATGGACGCGATTCGGGTTTGGGGAACCTTGGAGGGTGAGGATGACGTGCTAGACGCGATGCGAGAGGATGCGGCAGAGGAAGTCACTACACGGCTAGCTGCGACCCACTTTGATGATTCGGAGGAAGAAGAAAAGGGGGGAGATGACGACGACAAGAGCACGGAGCGCGTTAGGGGTGCCCCACCGGCCTATGCTGAACTGTCGTCTCACTTCGGCGTACTGGAGCGGGCTGCGATGGAGTGTGGGAACGCAGACGCTGCCTTTCACCTGTCTAAAGCCAGGATGGCGATGATTGCAACGCATGCTGCTAAGCAAACGCGCCAGACAAACTGAGGGGATTTGTTGCGACGGAAGATGTTGAAGCGGAATGAGGAGGGGAGATAACGCGGGGGTGTAGTCAAAGCCGTTANTGAAGTCACTGCACGGCTAGCTGGGACTCACTTGCATGACGATTCGGAGGAAGAAGAGAAGGGGGAAGATGACGAAGACGTGAGCACGGAGCGCGTTAGGGGTGCCCCACCGGCCTATGCTGAACTGTCGTCTCACTTCGGCGTACTGGAGCGGGCTGCGATGGAGTGTGGGAACGCAGACGCTGCCTTTCACCTGTCTAAAGCCAGGATGGCGATGATTGCAACGCATGCTGCTAAGCAAACGCGCCAGACAAACTGAGGGGATTTGTTGCGACGGAAGATGTTGAAGCGGAATGAGGAGGGGAGATAACGCGGGGGTGTAGTCAAAGCCGTTATTTTTTGTTGTTTCGTTTCTGGCGTTTGATCAGCATTCTGCCGCATTTCTAGATGATCAGTTAATGAACACAACAACTCTAGGCGACCCAATTATCCTTTGCAGTCCGCCCACTTCACCACTCAATCGTTTCCTATTTGATTTGTGAATATGTTGGCTCCGTAAAGCGCAATCGCTGTGCCACATGGCCACAATCCCTCAATAGCACCACAACCGGCGGTATTGAGGGTTTCTGAGCCCTCAATAGCGCCAGTTGTGGCGCCATTGAGGCACAATTCCAATAGCGCCGGTCGCTCTGAATAGCGCCGGTCGAGGCGCTGGGCACATACCGGCGTTATTGAGGGCCCCCCACTGTACAACTTAGGCCATCGTGCCATCTCTCGTTAGTGTTGAATGGTTGTTGAATCGAGGCACGGAGGCCGCTCAGGTTCCGTAGGCTTCCTAGTGTCGGGAAGGCGGTACATCTGTACCGCGTCAGCCGCCTAGGTTCCTGTGGTTCCTATAATAGTTCCGCTAAGCGCAAAGTTGACTCTTGATTCAGTCACTCTCACAGCAGTCGGTCCGCTTAGTCCAAATTGTCATATTCTTTTTTCACCAAGCAGTTTTCACTAAATCCGGGTGGTAGATATGCTACCAAACTATAGACTCTATACACACATGTCATCCGACAGCAGACAGCAGTCCACATCAGTTCATTTTTAGCGTTTTAGCCTGGACCGGCCATGAAATCGTTTGGCACCTTGCTGTGGTCTCATCGAATCCCGCGCCTAGAAAGTTTGACACTAAACGGGCTGGCCTGCTACTGCTGTTGTTATGCTTTGATTTACTAAATGAAAAGTCTTAGTGGGCATCCCGACATGTTTCCTGACGAGGAGGCTCACTCCCTCCATCAAGTGTTCATTTCGCTACGTGTCCTCTCCAGTCACCGACCGTCACCCAAAGTCAGTTCAGAATGTCCACAGGGTTTGACTTTAGACGTCGAGCGTTGCCGTTACCCATACTTGTACTGTAAAATCCTATCCCAGAGATCGAGGGAGGACTTCAGGAAGAAGAAACACCTCGGTGTGTCTTCATTCAGCCTGGGGTTCAAACCCACGCTATCAAGTTAATACCACCAAGTAGACACGTTCAATAGAGACGAGATATTTCTGTGTTCTTGAACAGGATCTGTCGACGGGTTTTCTTGAAAAATAACGATTGGCACATAAGTACCGCAAATGACACAAGATAACGCACCTACATAAGATACCACACCCCCCCACAGAATACGACACCCCGGTGATATTTTTGGGTTTCTGACAAACCATCCATTTATCACCCGGGATACACAAGGCAACACACCCCGGTGATAAATGAAGGTTATGCCGCACATATTCACGTGGCCCCTCCTTTATCACCGGGGTGACAGCATCTGCCCGTGGGCATCACAACGCACACCCTTTGTGTGCGGGAAACGCCCCGCTTTGAAACCTCCAACAATATGAACGTGCAGGAAGAAGAGCAGACTGCCGCCGCAAGTACCTTCGCTTCTTGCACAACTGCTTCGACCGCAGCAGCACAGGCGCAACAGATCATGTCGTTCTTTCAACCCGAGCAAACTTCTTCTACGCAAGCGGCTCCTGCTACGGCTCCTTCTCCTGCTGCTGTTTATCTAACAGCAGCAGCTGACACGGCAACAGGCGCCAACATGACAGCCACTGCCTCCCCTCACCAGTAGCCAGTTGCTGACTCGCTCTCAGCAGCACGTGCGAATACCACAGACGAGTAAACACGCACCACCAAAGCCTCTCAGCTGGTGATGGTGGACACCCCCTCATCATCACACCCTCAAACACACCCTGTGGGCGTTGGGACGTGCTACTTGTATCACACCTTTTATCACACCTCCTCATTCATCACACCCCCAAACACAACCTGTGGGTGTTCGGACGTGCTATCACCCCCCCTAATTTATCACACCCCCTTAGCTGCACTTCCCCTCTCGGTGTTTGCCATCGGGATTGGGTTTTCGTCGCTTGGCAACGACGTTGTAAAACAAGCCATTTCACTTGGTGAACTCGGCAACCAGGTTACCGTATTTTTTTTTACCTCTGTGTTTTTTTTTTTTGGCGGTAACCATAATGGTGGTCGAGTAGATCATGTTGTGCGGGGTGGAGAACCCTCACTCCGCGCAAGGGGGATGATCGCACCACGTTGTGTTAAAATGGTCAAGCACCCTCGAGGCAGTTACACAGTGCTTACAACTGTCTCTGGAAGTGAAAGCACCAGAAAATAAATTGAGTCACAAACAGCTGTCATCCGTACGCAAGGAAGTGAGCACAAGTTGCCGAACACCCTTAGCAGGATGCAGCGCACCCTTCATGCGACTCGCCGAATATCTCACGGCGCTTCGCGCTTGGTGATGTGAGAGCCTGGTCCGGTGAGAACCCGGCGTGCTCCGTCCCGGCTTTGTAGGGATGCGAGGTCAATGGTGCAACGACTACGGCATGCACGACAATGAGTACACCCCCCCCCCCCCCCCCCCCCCCCCC